CCCACAAAAAGCTTAGTCCCCGCTTAGTCCCCTGTGCAAGGGACTAAAGCCTATAGTACACAAAACCACAAGCACACCCTCACCCTCACTCGCGCGCCCACACCCGCACCATGGGTGTGGGTGTGTGTGTGGGTCCCAGACCAACACTCACACCCTCAGTCACCTCCCCCCTCACTCCTAGACTCACGTTTCAGTTTGAAATCAAGTATTATTTTTATTTGATAAATTCAGACTGAAATTAAATAGCCCATAGTATGCTTCAGTCGAGGGAATACCAAAGTTTCATCAAAATGGCCAAAAGTCTTAAAATAAAAAAGCTCATTTCTGATTGGCCGGTTCCTGACTAATGAAATCTCGGCCAAAAAATGGGCTGCGGAGTCGGATTCAGGGCCCTCGATAACCTATAGCAAAGTTTGATCAAAATGGCCAAAAGTCTTAAAATAAAAAAGCTCATTTCTGATTGGTTAGTTCCCGACCAATGAAAGCTCGGCCAAAAAAACGACTTCAGATTCGGATTTCCCAACCCCAATTTATTTTCATCAACCTTTAAAGGAAAATTCATCGTTGATGTTTTTTTGACCTTGACACAAACAACGTACAACGTACAGGGTGTGGGTGTGGGTGTGGGTGTGGGTGTGGGTGAGGGTGTGGGTGAGGGTGTGGGTGTGAGTGTGGGTGTGGGTGTGGGGTGTGGGTGTCGGTGTGGGGTGTGGGTGTTAGTGTGGCTAAAGGGAAATAGTACATGCCAACACCCACACCCTGCTAACAAGTTATATTTCTCTTGTACAAACTTCGGCTCTAATTCAGAACCTTGATGTTACTTTGTCAAAATTCTCACCTTACATCCTAAATTAGCTATTCATTATTAAGACTTTTGTTGCTTTTAAGGTAGACTCTTTTTCTATTTGAATTATCCACTAATCTGATACAGATTGTGCTCTTTGTGTAAATAGCGGCGTGAATTTCAAATCTTGCAAGATTTCACGTCGTTTTGTCAGAAGCGACTTCAATAACATGTGAATACTTTACTTCAAATACCCGCACAAAATCAAACAAGAACAAAGGTGACTTTTCGAAAGTTCAATTGTAATGATTGGAAATTGAAAGAGATAAAATATGATGAAAAACTCGCTATTTGTGAGGTGCATACCATTTTCAATTCGTTTTTGCCCTTACCTAAAAAAGATATACCTTTCTCTCGTCGTATATTGCTTGCTGCTCAACTATTTATAGACTTCTTTTAAAGTCTTCAATATAATGGACTCGGTAGTATTCATGAGATTTTGTCCGAAAAAATTCTCGCCCTCCCGAACACAGATTATGTCCCCCCTCCTCCCGCGGAACGAAAGACCAGGATAAAGCACTGAATGTTTGGAATCTTTAAGAAAACTACTACCTGATGAATACTGTTTACTTGCAACTAACAAAATCAACGAATGTGACACTCATATTTCACTGTGTCGAGTGAAAAGAGAGATTTTTCAATTTGAAAGGATAATATCAATTCTTTCAATTTGGCAATGAAAAAGTAACAAAAATAAACAATTCAGTTACAGCAGATATTTTTCTGCATTGTTTAATGTGATGAAATTTTGAAATGACAGAAAGTTTTTGTTATTTCACTTTACCATTTTCTTATGTTTACTAGCAAAAGAAAACGAAAAAGTACAAACAAAAAAAGAATTGGTGTATCGATTCATTCACATAGTGAGATAATGCAAGGAGTAGTCATTTTGCACTTCTTTTTTGTTTCTGTCCATAATGCAGACTCGAAGTTGGTAATGGGTGTCCGTGAGTATTTGAAATAGGGTCGTACGTTTGTATTTGTTATTCGTCAATAGTTGGAATGTTTTTCTAAACTGTCGATCGCATCATATATGGAACATCCTATTGATTATATTAAAACCAATTAGTGAACATGTCCTCCCATTTGCGGACAAAGAATCGAAACAAAAAAATCTATTAAATTCAATTTCAATTTTATTTTAAATTTGAATAAATTAAATTTAGAATAATCTTAAATTTAAAATTTTCGGTTTTAAATTTCTAGAAACATTTACTGAGATGAATATTAAAACAAATTAAAATTTCAGTTATATTTCTAAAATTGTTGAAATTTATAGAGTTTGCTAAAGGCTCGGTTACAAATTATTTCAGCTTAATAATTTGTAATTTGTAGAGTTCACCAGATATAATTGTTATTATGAAGACCATCAGCTGTTCTTGATTGTGAACAGATCACATAATTGCGATAGTAAAATGGAATCGAACATTGAATAGATATAATAGATTAGGATCTCTACACAAAAACCATAAATACAAGGCATGATGTTCTAAGCAAGACGCCTCAGAAATATAAATGTTAACATGCATTTTTCTCTTCGCGAACCCAGCTCGATTCGCCAACACCACAATTGAAACAAGTATCAAATTATCACAACAAGTAACGATATATTTTCCTTAAAAACACAATTTGTCTTCAACTGAATTCGTTCTTAATTTAGCCTAAATCGATGATCCTTCCTCGTGCACTATGAGTATTCTCTACAAATTGCAGTGAAGATTAAAAAGTGTCTATTACGAGAAACTTGCGTTCTCTATAAATTGCAGTCACTATATGAATCTTAAAATTTTTTTTATTGTCAAAAAACTGATGATCTCTATAAATTGCAGCATGCTTGATGCTATACGTAGCGATATACTCTATTCGATCATTTTTATTTTCATGTGCTTATTTTAGATACCTGTTTGTTAAAATTAATTAATAGTTATGGCAGCAGCATCCAAAGCACCAAAAAACTCTTTAAAATGCGTCGAATGGATGTGGCAATCGAACCCTAATTCATTGTCTACATCTGAATCACCACAATGGAGTCATTACTCAGACGTCGAAAATCTCATTATTGAAAGAGCATATTCTAACAAAGAATCAAAGGCTGTACTGGATGATTACTACATTGATTTTAAAGAACAGCTGCAAATATCAAATACGGATAATAACAAAAAAAGATCAATAAAACGAGTGGAAAGAAAGCGTGAAGATAAGCATTTGCGAGAAGAACGATTTGTTGATCTTCCTGTTAATATATCACGATCATTTAGTGGTGAATACGGTTGGGTATCGCCGTTCATTATTGAGGCTCGACGAGATTTGAAACTTACACCTGAACAATTACCGTCGAAACAACCCAATTTGATACCAATGCTTGTCGATAAAGCAGCTGAAGGCATTATTAAAGAAGGCAAAAATATTCGAAAAGAACAAGAAGCAATTGAAATGATAAATATGCTTAGAAAAAAAAGAAATCAAGGAATAGAAAAAGTATGGAAATGTTGTGCGTATCTTTATTCATTAGAAAGTTTTCTTTATAAAACTATAAATTCTGCGATGAGATTAGTTGGAGATAAAGATCATGAACAAGTATGGAGAAGTAAAGTTCATACTTTAGGACCATTTTGTTTACTTTTATGGGACGATCCATTTAATAAGAAACCAAAGTCAGCAAAAACTCTTTATCGAGGAGCAAACCTAACTGGTGAACAAATTGCTAAATATGAAGAAATGGCTAAAGATTCGGCCATGTTCGGATCTTTTCAAGCATTTACATCTTGTAGTCGTAATCGTGAAAAAGCAGAAAATTTTGGAAATGCTTTATTTATCATGGAAATATTTATTGCTTTTACTGCTGACCTGACCAAAGTATCTGAATATCCTGAAGAAGAAGAAGAACTTATTATTCCAGGTGTTTGTTTTCATGTCACAAAAGTTGAGTTCAATCAAGACAACAATAAACATTTGATTTATTTACAACTAAGACAACGATGGTCACGTAAGTAAAAATTCTATTGTAAGATTTTATCTTTCGAAACCCAGGTCGAACCTATCCAATAGGATCCCATCGGATCCATAAAATATCCGACAATATCCGACCGTCGGATCCGACAGGATGTCGATAGTCGGAATCCCATGATATCCTATGGTTTCCGACGTTTTCCGACACTAGGATACCCTAGGATTCCAATAGCAGGATCCGTCGTATTCCGACAGTTGGAAACCCGTCGGATCCAACAAAATCCAACAGCACCTATTGCTACCTATGTCACCAACATCAATGTTGAAAATAAACCTGAAATCTAACCAGAAAAATAGCAAAGTCTTTCTTAATGCTAGAATTACAGATTGACGAAAATTCGTGAAATCTAAACTGTTATTGTTCTAGGATAAACCAAGCCTTTTCTAACTGACATGACATCTATTAACATTTTTTTGATTTGGTGAAGTAGATGAAGAGGCAAAGTGTACAAAAGCCTATTTTATTTAGTATATTTGAAATATTTCGAAGCTTCTTATTAATGATTAAAACGAAATGTTCTTGTATTTGTTAAAGGTTTTTAGTTTCTGTGCTTTATTTATCTGTATTTTTAGCGTCAAAAAATTTAACAAAGTCATATGCACAACAACAGAAACGTACTCCACTTGATTCAATTCCAAAAATTAATGATCTTTCATCAAAGCTATCATCACCTAAGAAAAGAAAACGTGATGATGATCACAACGAAGTTCAAAGTATGTTTTCATTCCTCAATTATTCATTAGCACTTTGATGTCTTTGTTCAACAAATCTTGTGAAAGCTTACTTCCAGAAAGAAAATTCTAACGGATATTTCACCAAAAGCAGTTCTAAATTTTTTCGTGACGCTTATAGAAATTGGAGATCATTAATATTTCAATGGTTTTAGTATTTATGAAAAGAATATCATTTTTCCTTTTTCTTAGTTTTACATGATGATGTCTCGAGTGATGAAGAAATCGATCAGCAACGTCTAATAACTTCATCAAGTTTGAATATTTTGAGGCTTATCAGAAAGATTAGATATCTAGTTCTTTTTCTTATAGCATCTCCCATTATACAACATATAGATATTCTATTTAACACAATTCGACAAGAAAATGAAAAACAGTTTACTGCATTGTCAAAGAAAATTGATCGAAAAAATCATATCGATAGTGTAAGTTACTTCCATTCTTCTTTTCAACTGTCTACCATTATATATTTACTGGTTTTGTAGGTTGATCTTTCGTCGTTTCGTGAATCAGGAGATAATCGAACGAATAATGAAGTGGTTTGTTCTTTTTTCTGCTTTTTTTATTATACTTTTTTTTTTATTTAGATCTATAATAATACTAATTTACTTAGTATTCGAGGAAAAAATATTGGTGATTATGCACGACAAGTACTTCGTATTATTTATTCACAGGAAGAACTATTGTCTTCGATTTTACCTCCGGGTAGTCCTCACTTTGCTCGAAAACCTTTGGACAACAAAAGATTTGAAAAGTTTCATGGTATGTAGTTTTCTTCATTGTTCTTAAACATAGTACACCACGATTTGAGCAAAGTTCTTACAATTTTTACTATTTTTGTTGGACCAAAATGTAACACGGGAATAATTTCTTTGTGTGATTCACCATGTAAATCATTTCAACAATCAAAAGCTCAATATTTTCATAATGAAGAGCTGTCTTTGAATTTCAGTAGAAACTAAGCAGGTTTTCTATTTTTGAGGAATCCAGAGGAAGAGAAATCGTAAGCTAATAGTATGACTAGAAAATTTTCTGTTGTGAAATTTAGCATTGTCTTAGATATTTCATTTTTAGTTACTTTTCTATGCTACTAACGCAAATTTGTCGAAGTTTTTATTATGTTTCATGGAAATCCTTTTTTTTAGAAGCTATGCGTGGTAAATATCACATAGCTGAACATCGATACGACGAATTTTTTTCCAAATTAGTTCGACCGAAATTGGTTGATTTTTTGTCCGATGAACGTAAACGTGAACGTAAAAGACAATCAACTCAATCTCTCTCGCCATAATCACCTGATCGAAGTTTATGATGAATGCCTGTACATTATAGACATGTATTAATAATTTATTTATTTTCTTTTGTAGCTTGGAAAACTGGTTATATATGTGGAAAAAACCTTATTTTTAAATGATTTGTATTTTGCTTGTTGCATTTAAGTTTTTCTTTTTGTGTGTAATTGATTTAAAAATTATCAGATAGTCAAAATAAATAAAAGCTGATGAACCAAAAATATCTTCAGTAGTATATGAATTTGTGCATGATCCATTAGAAATAAAAAGTTGAGACTGAAACATCAGTACTGCAAACAGAACCAAGCTCGGTTATGAAAATAAAACCTCATCGGATCTTGTGGGTTCCAATATTTTCCGATTGATGGATCCAACTATCGGAAATCGTCGGATCCGACATCCGACAACTTCCTGTCGGAATCCTGTGCCAAGGATTCCGATGATTTCCGACAAGATCCTATCGGAAGTTGTCGGATCCCTGTCGGAAATCATGGGTTTATTTGGGATATCCTATCGGATCCTGTCGGATCCAAGACTGGGATTGTTCGACCTGGGAAAGTGCTTCTATTCTTTCCCATCAAATATCTTAGTAATGTTACATAAATATAATTCATTAAATCATCTAGGTAACGGGGAGCACGTTTGTATCAGTCATGTAGAAATTGCTGTCTATCTGAAGATGAACAGCTAATTGAGTTTAACTTTTTCTGTAATAAAATATATACCAGAAGGATGATTTACTCTTTTTTTATCTTGGCTAGTATCAGTTTTTCATCATTAGTGTGCGAACACATGATTGAATTGCATACATGTCTATGAAAACTAGTACAAACAAGTAAGCAGTTGTTGTAAACTTGATCGTTTGAGCCATTAGAAAAATCGAGAAAATTTTCCTCGAAAACCTGTGGAAAAGTCAGTGTCGTTGACTTCAACGCTATTAGAAGTGATTGCTCTATATGAATTTGTTCGTATAAATTGACAAAAACCTTGTAGTGCTTCCAAAATAACCAAGGATAAGTTACCCATCTAACAAAAGTAATTCACAAAATCTGTATATATAATGTTCAGTGTCTGCGTGTCTGTCTGTCTGTGCTGGATCAAAGATTAAAGGTCAAAGGTCAAATAAGACTATAAGGGGAAGGCGCCAAGAGCTACCATATTGGGTACCCGTAGGTCCTCAAGAGCTATTGTATGGAGATATTCATCGATCCTCAAGGGCTATTATAGAGGATACCCACAGGTGCTCATCGGCTATTATATAGAGGTACCCATAGGTTCTCAAAAGCAATCCTATGGAGGTACCCATAGGTCCTCAAAGTCGGTCCTAGGGGTACCCGTAGGCCTCTTCAAGGGTTACTTTATGGGAGCATCTATAGGTCTTCAAGCGATATTATATGGAAGTGCTCTTGAATCCTGAGCAGCCATCCTATGGGGTACCCATAGGTCTCAAGGGCTATTATATTGAAGCACTCATAAGCACTGAGGAGAGTAAGGCAATCTATATATATAATGCTCAGTGTGTATGTGTTTCTCTGCCTTGAGTCAAAGGTTAAAGATCGAATAAGGCTATAAGGGAGTAAGTCTTTAAAGGAAAAAGACAATAAGGGATTAAGGCAACGAGAGTATAAGGTCATAACGTGGCAAGGCTCTAAGGGGAAGAAGACTATAAGGGCGAGGAGAACGCTATAAGGGTGTATGGCTATTAGGTGGTAAGACTATATGAAAGTAAGGAAATATCAGGATAAGGGTACCAATCATACAGCTTTAAGGAGGTAAGACTATTAAGGGATAAGGTTATAAGAGAGGAACGCTCTTAGGGAGTTAGGCTACAACTGGTAAAGCTATAAGACCATAAGGTTACATAGAGTATTAGCAATAGAAGAATATAACGTTGTAGGACTTCTATGTACATAGTGTCAAGTGTCTCTATGTTTATTACCGAGTGAAAGATTAGAGTTTTGAGATCGTACGTTAAAGAAAAAACACGCTGTCGTGCAGTATGCACGAGTTCTCGCTAGTAAAAACCTAATAGATTTCTAATCTGTCTCGAAAGTAACATACATGAAAGTGGGCTTCTATTATCAAATCAATTTTTTCCACTTCAAATAATGACTTTCTTAGTTAATCCTTTCTTTTTTTAATCCATAAGAGAAGTATGAAGGTATAGTGGATAGCACTGCATTGCCATTTAGTAACAGTCGATCATAAAGGATCGAAGCTTTTGGAAAAGCAAAAACTATTTCTCAGAGATGCAATCATTCGAAGATTCTTCATGGGCAGGTAAACCGGTCATTCTATCATTTTTTTTTCTTCTTTTCTTGCTTTTTTTGCCCATTTTAGTGTTAAAATTGGATAGAGATGGGATTTTCCACTTGAAAATAGTTCTATTATCGGTTATGACAAACTTCACACACAATAGCTCCATTGTTCTGTATATTTTACAGCAATTCTAAGGATTGTGTATTATTTATCTCATCAGTTGAATTCACAATTACACTAAAAACAGTTGTAAGTCAGAAACTTGAAATATCTGTCTGTTCATAAAATCTTCTACGCAAGAGATAGTTATGCAACAGAAAAATTCTCCCCTTGTTTTTAATATCATAATGTCTGTTGTATGATTAAAAATGCCTTCAAAAGAAAACTTTTTATGATTTCTGAAACCAGCGAAAGAAGTGACATTAATTATTTCGCACAATCTTTCATGTACATGAATCAACACATTCTAGTAGGGGTGGCATATTTACTTTACTCTTCTACAAGTTAATATAGTAGAGTAAATAAATGACTTACTTATTTACAGGAATGTTCTTTGATAGTAAATTAAATCTGACGAACTCAACATTAAGATTTAATGGTACCTATGACTCATACAATACGAGAAAATTTGCTGATGATTTATGCCGACCGACCGACCGACCAGCCTGGTTCAGTCCACAAGAGTCCGATCGAGTCGATAATCGAGGAAGAAAAAGATCTAATTGATTGCGTCTTTGATTTCAGTTAGTATCCTACTGAAGAGCATCTTCTAAATGGATACTGAATAGTACTATTAAAGTACTAGAATAGGTACTATAATATAGTATATTTAGGTATCCTATTGTCCAAAATTAGAGTATGTTTCTGATTGAACATATAGAGATGTTCGTTCAAAAGAAAACGATGCTTAAAGAATCATTACAATGAATGAGAAATTTTTTCGCTGCTCTACAGAGCTTTTCTACTTGTCCATCAAGCATACTGGCATGAGCATCCACTTCAGTACTTATCTCAGTATGTTTACTGATCACCTATGCCAGGCATTCTGCTGCGACGCTCTTAATACACGAGTACTTTAAGCTCAATGCTCCTATGACGAAAAATTTCAAATATTTTCCCTTAAATATGCTATGATTCAATCACTCAAACAAACAAACAAATTAATTATCATTCATCTCAACATTATTAACAAAATCTAACCTTTCATCCTTTCTATCTAGAGAAACACAACCAAGAAATACAACCCACGACCGAAAAATCCAACGCCAAACAAGAAGACAAAGAATACTCCACTGACTCAATCTCACCTCTAGTGAGATTTCTCTTAAACATGAAACATGGTATCGCACGCTAACCGAATCTTCGACGATGAGATCAATTCTAAAATGTCAAGACAAAGTACATAATATAAATCGACCTAATCATATATAGAGTCTTCCTAACTTCTGAACTAAATCCTCCTGTCATGCATTCGAGTATCAGGTAATAATGATTAAACTCAGAAGATATTTAATCTTCCAAATTAACACTCAACATTGATAAATATACACTTTATCAAGTAAATTCCAATATCATTTCAATACGATCAACCGCTGACGAAATTTCGTCTTATTGGGAAACATTCAACACAAATAAATTTAATCTTTATGAGATAAATTCGCATATCGTCTCATAGCGACTAATGTCAGAAATAATTCAATGTTCTCAATAAATATTCAATATTTGTGAATATCATCTTGATGAGAAGAATTCAAATATCATTCCATTACGTGTAATATCATATGGAATTCAATGTTACTAATGAACATTCAATATTTCTGAATTTGATTTTCGTATGACAAATTCGAATATCATTTCATGTCGATCGGCATCAGAAAGAACTCAAACTTACTCATAAACATTTAATATTCGTGAACATATTTTTTATACCAGAAAATCCAATATCATCTTATCAACGATCAAAGTCAAAACAAATTCAATGTTAATCATATAGTATTCTACATTTGTGAATTTAATCTTTATGAGATGAATTCAAACAACACTTGATATCAATTAAATTTAGAAAGAATTCAATGTATTTAATAAACATTCAATATTTGTGAATTGAATCCTCGTATAATGAATACTAATACCTTTCCATGGCGAGCAAAATGACAAAGAAATTAATGCCATTAATAAAAACCTAATATTTCTGAATTTTATGTTAATATAATCACTTCAAATATTATTGCATAGCGATTAAACACAAATCGAATTCAGTGATATTAATAATGATTAAATATTTGTGATTTTAATCTTGGTTAGATGAATTCTAATATCATCCTATGATGATTTGAGTAAGAAAGAATTAAATGTTACTAATAAGCATTCGATGTTTGTGAATTTCATTTTAATTGAATAAATTCCAATATTATCTTATGGTAACTTACGTCAGAAAGAATTTCTCATTATTAATAAATACTCAGGCCTTGTGAACTTAGTCTTTATTAGAATAGTTCGAATTTCATCTCAAGTTCATCAAAGTTCGAAAGAATTCAATATTATTATGAAAAATTCAATGTTTCGTGAATTATAGCATGCTTACATGAATTAAAGTATGGTCTCATATTAAGTAAAATCAGAGACAATCGAATATAGTTCATAAATGTTCAATGATTGGGAATTTAATCTTGATCATATGGGTTCAAATACTGTCTGATGATAATAAAATTCGAAAAGAATTCAACGTTATTCGTAAACA